CTGTTATACGCAAACAATGAATCATGGAGCACTACATCAAAAACTAATGATGGATTGTATGGTGACTAACATAACATAATAAAATTAAATTAAAAAAGAAAAAGAAAAAAAAAAAAGAACTGGGGCCCGAAGGCTGAGTGGTTCCCCAGTGAGAGGAGAAAGGGGGGGTTTACTCGGTGAACGCAGGAGAAATAGGGCTCTCAGCCTGGGAAGCAGTGGCTGCAGAGGTGTGTCTATGCCATGCTGAAGGGGGCGCGTCTATGAGGTGCCAAAGGGCCCCTGTGGTCATCTCCACACTTCAGACTAATACAGACCATCACTCGAAACCGGGAAAATGCTTCATGCTGCAGTGACAGGATCTGATCTGTTTTATGTTAAAGGGAACCATGGCACTCGGAAGATCTAGAATGAGCAAAGCCTAGGGGCAGGGAGGCCAGGGAGAAGGGAGTGCAGGAGGCTGGGGTTGCAAGGAATCCTGGAGAGACTGGGAGGAGGAGGAGGAAGTGGAGATGAACATAAGTCTGGGAAGGGACAGACACCTAGGGGACTCCGTTTTCGGTGAGGCAAGTCTGAGGTGCCAGGAGAAATGCTGCTGCGCGGCAGTTAGTAGGAGGTTCAGGAGCTGAGTGTGCGCAGTGGGGATCCCACTGGAACCCCACAGGCAGCCGTCCTGGCTTGAAGTGGTTGACAAACTATTGCCACGGCAACTAACAACAAACAGTAGGTGCTTAATAAAGGGACGTCTCCAGGGCCAGAGGGTTAAACTTTAGTGGAATGTAAAATCTTCTATCTAAGGAACAATAATGACCTAAGAGGCAAAAGACAATGCAGTTTTCAAACACAGATGGGCCACATTAGTGTAGAGTTTTGAACCCGATTCTGTCCCGAGCACAAGGCGCACATGTCCACGGAGTCCATGTGGCTCTGGGGATAGCCCCATCCCTGATGAACGCCTACGGGGTGCCTCCACTCAGAGGTCGTGGTACTATTTCACATGTCACAAGGCAAAACCTCCCACCCCCTGACCCGGAAACTGGCCTTTCCCTCCAAATTCCCTATTGCTGTCAGTAACTTCAGTCTCCTATCAAAAAAAAACCCATTTACTCCGAAATAATCAAGTACTGTGCTCGCTTCGGCAGCACATATACCAAAATAATCAAGTACTTAAAACTATGTGTCGAATTGATTAGTCTTCCCCTGTCTTCAATCTTCTAAGGTCTGTCGGCTCCTAGGATGTTTTTCTGAACTGCTCCAATGTCAGCACTTACACCCAGATTATTATGGAAACCTCCAAGCGAGTCTTTACTCCAACCTCTTCATCCTGCAGTCCACACTTCAGAAAAATCTAAACCTCATAGAATATAGCCTTCAGGTCATTTCTCTTGCTTAAGGATGTACAAAGTTAGGATGCAAAGTGAACATCCCAACCAAGAAGGCTGGGATAAATTTCCTCTTCACTTGGCTTCTTCCCCTCTCCTCATTGTCAGTATCAGCATCCTGGGCCTGTCTGCGCCCACACACCAGGCCCACTTCTTTCTCTTTTCCTCATGGATGGGTTCTCTTCACCTGATGAGATGTCCTCCTCCCCCTCCTCTTCTCCCTCCCCATCCCTGTGTCCCATTAAGCCAATGTTGAAGGGCTACTTCAACATCTACTTCAAGCCAGACTGCCCTGGAGGCTCTAGTCCCTTCCCTGTTCTCCGCATCAGTAAGAACCACCAAGGAAACCACTAGTTTGTCTTCTAGTTGGTTTATATACTTCTCCATACCCCAACTAGATCACACACACCACGTCCTCCTTGCTCCATGACTGAATCCCCAGGGTAAAGCCTGTAACCAAGGGAGAGTACACAAATGTAGCCCAAACAGAGATCATGCCCATATGCCTTTAGCACATCAGCAACAACTCTGAAAAACTCTAAAGTTGGTCTCCACAGAGATCTGGAGGGAATATCCATTTGAGCAAATCCCTTAACAATATGCAGATTATTTAACAGTAAGACAGGCAGTTCTCAGAGTAAATATTTTCCATCCCTATCAGCCTTAAGACAATAAAATCAAAGCTGGTTTCTACGGACATGAATTAAAACTCTGCCAGCACCATTAATAATTCTTTTGGAATCTGGTCAAGTCCTTTCTTGAGTTTCAAGAACCCATAACAGTCTGTACTTCGGGTTCCAAAAGTGCAAATAGCCAGTTGGTAAGTACATATCAAATTCATTCCTTAGTCTCTTGTGTAGTTACTTAGGATCATCCTAGATGTAATACCTGCCTCAATGTTAATGTTATTCACAACCATTATACTTCCCTCTCCTCTATGCACATGAGATTTATTTTAACCCACCAGAAATTTGAAAGAGACCCAATAGAATAAGTGGTACACAGCCTGCCATTTTGTACCTCAAGAAGTGGCTGTGAACCACACAATCAGTTTTGGTGGCCAAAATCCATAGTAGAAGTGAACTTTAATAATACCCAAGGTAAGAGGAAGAAGATTCTCATGGGCTTCTGGTCTAAAAGGACTACATTTATAGGGAATTGCTATGGTTCTTATGAGGTTGTAAGACCCTACAAAGTGGGTGCTACTGTCTCTCTGTTTTTTGTTCATTAAAAAACTTGCTGAGCCTCTACCACGTTCTACACACCATGCTGGACATGGAGAATACAAAGAGCAAGGAGCCATAGTCACTGTCCTTGAAGAACTCAATCTAGAAGAACCCGACAAGATTTGGTGTACACTTAGTAAACATTAAACGGTTACTTCCATAAAGAGTCCCCCTAGGTTCTATGGGACCAGAGTGAGAATTCGAGTATTTGTTCCACAAACAATCACTTTGTGATTGAGCCACAAAGAACTTTCATTTGGATGAACACATAACCTACAGTGGCTTATTAGGGAGAATGACATAAAAATTTGCTTCAAGAGCTGGTACTGAGAACCTCATGCAACATTCAGGTGAAATATTTTAACTGGCTAACCATTGTTTTGAATAAGAAAGGAGCTTGGCTACAAAGAGAAATCCTAAAAGCATGAGGATGTCATGTGGGTTCTGCTGAACTTCTACCCAGGGCCATCAGCAAAGTCCAACGGTTTTTCAACGGCTTGGACTTCTCGTTTGTAAAATGAGGGCAAGGTAAGGCTGATTTATTCTTCACAGTGAAGAAGTCCTCTGGAAATGGAAGAGCCACATTAGAATAATGTTCTTCTAAATCTCATCTTCAATTATTAAACACCAATCTCTAGTCCTCTGTGCCCAGACATTTTGAAAGGGCGCTGTGCCAAAGTCCATTAGTGTTGGGATCAACGTTGGCAGGACACTGGTACCTTTACTCCCTTTCAGCTGAACCACTGAAATCCAATGTCTGACAGGAAAACAGGAAGCTGAAATATGGCAGTCCTGCTGCTGATCAAGTTGCAGTGTGAACCTAGTTTTCCCAATACCTCCTCTTAGAGTGTTTTGTTTGTTTAAAGGAAGAGTTCGCTTCCACACCCAAGGTTGCTGTACTTTAGAAATCCTAGAAAATGCTTGCCGTGGTGCCCAGCTTCTCAAGACTTCAGGTAATTCTAAAGATCTTCTGATGCAACAGATGCTGACAGAATCTAAAAATTCTGACGGTTTGGATTAATTTGCAGGGGAAGGGGTACAGGGGGCAGTCAACATTTTAAACGTCAGATTCAAAAAAGAAGAAAAAGCAAAATACAGAAGAAAATCACAGAAGTCCAGAACCAAACTGAAGGTTTTCTCCCTCCATTGACTAATGCATCCACTGGATTAATTCGACTATGCATTTCCCCAATATATCAGTCTGGCTAAAGATGAAAGATAGATGCCATAAACATCTGCCATGCAACCCTAGAGACAGCCCTTATCCCTCTGGTCCTCTGGGGGAGAAATGGAAGGCTGGCATTTAGTGGGAGCTACAAGTCAAGAGGTGCAAGGTACAATATGATAGCCACTAGCTACATGTGACTACTGAGCACCTGATATATACCAGTTAGTCCAAACTGAGCTGCGTTATCAGGATAAAATACCAGATTTCAAAGTACCAAAAAAAGGGGGGGGGATGTGGACTATCTCAATGTTTTATATTGAGTACATGCTAAAGTAATATATTAATATTTTAGATATATTGGATTTAACAAATATATAATTTACATCTATATAAATTATATAATTTAAATCACTTCATCTGTTTCTTTTCTTAATGTGGCTACTAGAAAATGTGAAAGGACACATGCGGCTCTCATTTGTAGCTTTCATATTTTTACTGGACAGTGTTGTCCAGAGCATCCCAATCTCGCCTGGATTCTTAAAAGGACAGAACCCAACATATGAAAACACACTCAGACCCACAAAACAAATAACATCCTTTTCTTCAAGGTTGACACACTGAGAGAAATAAGACTGATTACACAGCTCTCCTCTCACAGTTGATCTACTCATAGATCAAACTAAATGCTCTTTTGTAATAATCTGTTTTAGATAATACCAAGAAAACCCCTGCAGGGTATTGGTCAAAGCATGTGTATTGGGGTCAGACAAATCTGGGTGTGAATCCTATCTCTGCCATTTTCTAGCTGTGTAAACTTGGGAAAACTATCTAACATATTAAGAGCCCTATTTTCTGTAAAAGAAATATAATATTTCCCCACAGGGTTGCTGGGAGGGTTGACATAGCAAGAGGTAGAGAACTTGGGCACTATATCTATTAGCAGATAATGCTTGAGAATGGTAGCTCTCTTAGTAAAATTCAAGCAACATTATCTGATCACCTTCCAGAATAATGATGGGGTAGGGGAGATGGAGGGCAAAGGAGATAGAAGCACTCATCCTGAGCCCTTGGAGCCAGTCAATTGAAGCAGAAAAGTCAGGCTCAGTATTTATTCCACACAGTGCAACACTGCCCTCTAGTGACAAAAATGTGGAGAAGCAGTCAGAGCAGGAGGCAAGCAAGGAAGAAAAATGGAAATTTTCCTGGGTACTAAGACAGTAAGTTCTCCAGATCAGAGAGATTATATCAAAGAACAATTTTTACTCATGAGTCACCTTTAAAGCAGTGGCATGGAATTGGAAGAGCAATAAGATTATCCAGATTTACTATTAACCCAGGGATTGTCACTTTGTTAATTATACAGTTGCTCAAATAGGAAAACAGTAGTTCTCTTTGGACACGTTAAATGTAACACTTACGGGGGAGAAAACCTGCCTGTGTGTCAAGTTACTAGGATTTATTTTAGTATGAGAACACAGAAAGGTGGAACCTTGTGGACTGCCCACTTTCTATGATTTGATCATGTTTTGTTTAATGCAACTATCAAGGTCAAAACTTAAGGCTAAGCTGTTCTACAAGCTTCAACACCATCCTTTGTATGTTCACCTCTTTTCTCTCTACAGAGAATCTAAGCCAAGATAACAGTCCCCTGGGCTGTAGAGATGAAATAAGAGAAGACAGCCATGCTTAGCATAGTACCTAACATACAAGCATCGAGTAATAGCTATTATTATTGTTCATTGTGTTGTTTCTGTTATTCCAACTGCCAGAGGCCCATGGAAGAAAAACGATAAGATACAATAATTCCTTTCACCTTTTTTGGTTTGAAAACAAGGTCTACAGAATTTCATTTCCTGAGGCATCTATCAATCAAATTTATCGTTTTAAAACAAGAACATCTGAATGTAACTTTGACGTCCTTGAGATGCTGCTGCTGACCAAAGCCCAGTGATAGTCTAGAATTCAGATACTGATCTTTAATAAGGCACTAAGATGACAGTGTAATCAAAACCACCTACAAAGACAACATCTGTTATCATTGTAATCATAGACCTAAGATGGTCCTTCTGGGCGGTCTTTGTCCATCTTCATTCTCCTCAATTAATGTGGATGAAAACCCTAATACTTTAAGTGAGAAGGATATTGGAATAATTCTCCTCATTTAATTTTCATTTTTAATATAGCGATCTCGTGTCCAAACAGTTCTCAGCTGGTGATCGGCTGGGTTAGTATGTGCCCCCTGAAGCCGGTCCCAGATAACTAGGAAATGTATCCTCTAGTTACAGTTCTATAGTTCTTGTTTCAATAGCCTGAAGTCACTTCAATATCCTGAAAAGGCAAAGAAAACCAATGCAAAGATACGTCTTACTGACATCGATGGTACATGCTAGAGCAAAGTGGGAAGAGGGTAGTTTGGGGCCCCTCTTGGAAGGGCCCCAAGTGCCTAATGTGCAGAAGGAAGAATTAGCGCTACACACCTTGTCATGATATGGTCCTAAGACAATCCAGCCACAGAACATGTAGCCCAGATAGATCATACCAGCACAAGCACAGAAGCGAAGAACTTTGGGCAGTGAGGCTTGCATCGTTAAAATGAGCACCTGAAATAAAAATCAGCAGAATGAGAGAAATTAAAAAGTGGCTTACTAGGACCCATGGAGAAATGAGTCTCATGCCCTACCCAGTGCCACATCCTTACATTATATGCTTGGAAGTACCCCAGGTATCTGATGACGCCAACCCAGACAAAGAGCGTAGACGTTCCAAGCAAAATGCTGCACAGATCGTAATTTGTGAGATTCTAAGGAGTGAAAAAATAGACATGAGTAAAACATTCCACTCCACTCAGCTTATTGACCTCACTTTAAATTGCAAAGAAGGGACTTGCAAAAGAATGGACTGCCTGCCTTTCTCTAGGTGACACCAAGAACTGTAAACTGAAGAAGAAAATAGCCCAATTCCAAATGCATTTCTCATTTCCTCTTCATATTTGAGTTGGTTGAACTGAATTTCTGTTCAAACAATATCCTGGAAGAGAAATTGCCTTGACTACTGACCTAGGCATTAAAGAATATAAAGTAATGGTGCTTGGTAAATACCAAACAATACCACTCAGCTATTTTTGAAAGAAAGCTCCAACGTGATTTGCTCACCCAGTTCCCGCCCTTGAGGCCTTCCAGTTCTCACTGAGGAGACACACACACACACACGCAGCTCTAACTTAGTATGCTAAGTTCAACAAGAGCCACGACACCTGGCTTGTCACATAGGGCTTTCCACGGTGTGACTCCAGAATGGAGCTGGGCCCGGAGGACAGGGTGGGAGGGGCACTGCTGGTCGACGGACAAAGGCTGAACAAAGGCCCAAGGCCAAGGGCAGGCAAGGTGTCCTAGAGAGGAGTCCTGATGGGTTCGGGAGAGCTAGGGCAGGGAGGGAAGCAGAGCGAGAGGATGAGAGCCCCAGAGGCCATGGTGAAGGGAAGCCACTTCATCCCAAGGGGGGCCCTGTGAGGCAGAGAGCGTTTTGATACTTCGAGAAAAATGAGTCCGACAGATGGATCTGAGGCATATAAGGCGGAAGGCAGGAAAGCCAGTGAGGAGACTGTTGTAGCACCCAGGCCAGAGAGCAAGATAGCCTGAAGGGAGGCAGAGTAGTCGGTGTAGAGAGGAGGGAGGCATGGTAAGCGGCCAGGAGGCAAAGGTGGTGAGACCTGCTGGCTGACAGCACAGAGGGGAAAACAGCCGGATGAAGGAGGAGGCAAGATGTAGTCATGAGATTAAATCAACGAATAACAACAAGAGAGCATCAGGTGCTTGGAGGTCACTCAATACTCCTGCCCTCACTCTCCTCCGAGATTCTAAGGAAGTGACTGGAGGGTCACTACTGGTTCTTGATATAATTGGTTCTTGGGTCAGCTTCTTCTTCTGCAACTTAAAAAAAAAAAAAAATGAAGCCCACCCAAACAGCCAATCTTCTCAAACTTCAGTTCCTATTCTGGAGATGCTGTTGAGTCTCCTGGGGGATACTCATAGGAATATCATCTTCCACAGAACAATGGCTTTCTTATGTTCCCTTGATGAGGAATGAAGTCAGAGGAAGCTTCAGTTATATGGATGTGAGAAAAGAGAAAACATGAGACTCAAGATAGTCTCCATAAGGATTTTATATCTCAAAGTGCCTGGGGTCACCCAGAAGAATGGGAAGAACAGAAGATTAAAATGAGTTGTCCCTCACCTTTGCTTTAATTTCCATTTTTAATATGGATCCAATTATTGTCATTAGGTCGCTGATAATCACCAGGACATACCATCCATTGATGAACTCCCACTGGTCGGCGTTACACACATGTCGCTTGTATTTCTCAAGGAAGAAATTTAGAAATCTCTGTGGCAAACATTTTAAAAAGCATTTCTTACAAACCACACAGCCCTCTGGAAGGAGAAAACAAGTGCAAAACAGTGCTCTTGCCTGTAAAGTGAAATGGCATTACCTTTCCCAACTGGATAGATCCACTCCAAGGGTGGCGATTATGGCCCCCACTTTCTCCCATAATCTACTGCAGCTATAAGTTAAGCCATTCCAGTACCTGCTGAGTTAACTCCCACATCAAAGGCTTATGTTCTAACACCAAGAAACTCTTGTCATAATAGCTAACACGCAGTACACTCCCAATATTTTACCTATCATCAACTCATTCAATCCGATAACCCCATGAATCAGGCCTTTCTCCAGAAAAGGGAACTGAGAAACAGAGAGCCTAGGCCATGATTTGGGTCCCGGCAGCCTGGCTCCGAATGTGTGCTCCCAGTGGTGGCTCCTAATTCTGGCAGACCCAGGACCCTGACCTTGGATTCAGAATATCAGGAGGCCTGGGGGACAGGTAAGAGAAGTGGATATTTACAAAATAAGTCAACAAAGGTCAAGAATAAGAAAACTAGAATGTAGACCATTTTCTTGCCCCACAAATGATATCCACAACGGATGACTTCCTATTTCCCCTGACCCCAGTCTGCATTTACTCACATGCTACAAACCAGAATAAGATTTGTGGGAAGCTGAAGTATGTATTCACAAGAACTCTGAGGGTAAAAAGGTAAAATGAAACTCAAGAGAGAATTTTTAAACTATTTTTAAAAATAGAATAAAGTATTTGATGCTGCATTATAACCCATTTACCATGACTCCCTGTCAAAATGAACTCTGATTTGAAGACAAAAGATGTAACCCACACATGCTATTACTCTGTTCTTAAGATCACTCCTGAATTTAAAAGGGTCTCCTTTATTCTGGAAACACTCAAAAGCTAGAGAGTTCACCACTGTGCACTTCTGCCTAGTAGCTCAGTTTCAAGCAGGATAATTATCTGATCCCACCTGACACGCCAGGAGCCTTTACTCACCCTCTACACCTCAGGTTGATTAATGCCTTGTAGGGAGACAATCATTCAAAGGAATCTAATCTAGTTGAGAGCTCCAGAAAGGGCAGGATGACCCAACATCAAGGGTCCACTGTCTGGACAAACAGGGCAGAGGCCAAGAAGGGAGGGAGAATATTTGAACACACACTTACCTTGCGTAACCTGAGAGCTAGAACAATGGATCTTGTGCACAGAATAAGAGATGCCAAGCAAATCACAATGACAAACGCATCAAACACCAGGACATACTGAGTATTTTTCTGAACTGAGGAACAAAAACAGAATTCAAATGTTAAATTCATATTACTTGGGAATAATTTCCAAGCAAAATGGTAGTCTGAGAAGAAGTTCTATTGATAAATGCTTAAACATCAGAAACAAATCACACTGCATTCATTCAGAAGTCTTTAAATAGGGTAAAACATTCTCTGCTGTTATGAGTTGTACATTTAAAAACATATAAACTCTCTGCTAAATGTACTAAAAATATTTTCTATTGAATAGAACTCAACAAAAGGTGGTCCATATGGGCTCTATTCAAGAGGCAAAACTGACAAAGTCTTGAGTTCTTTTTCATAAAAACACAAACACCAAGTTCTCCATTAATAAAGGAACAATTTAAAACGCCACTCCAGGGGTGCCTGGGTGGCTCAGTCGTTAAGCGACTGCCTTCGGCTCGGGTCATGGTCCCGGGGATCCTGGGATCAAATCCCACATCGGGCTTCCCTTGCTGAGGGGGGAACCTGCTTCTCCCTCTCCCTCTGCCTGCTGCTCCCCCTGCTTGTGCTCGCTCTTTGTCAAATAAATAAATAAAATCTTAAAAAAAATAAAACACCACTCCTCAGAATCCCCACTTCTGCTTCTCAACCTTACTGTGTACTTGACCAGCAAATAGTGCCAATCCAATTAGCTGCTTCTGCACATGGAGCAAAGAGCCTCTTGGAATGGAAGCAAGAACAGTAGTAATCAAATTTTTGTGGTGGAATACACAGTAGCATGGGGGAATGTACTGAAGGAAGATGCACCTGGAACCCCAGCGCCTCTGAGACCTGATGGTAGCATTCCCAACGCCTGGCCCCCTGCCCATTCCTGCAGCTTCATCACCTGCCACTCCTCTCTCCCCACCTTCTCTGCCTTGAGGCCACACTGTTCCTCCTCCATCCCTGCTCCTACCAGGCTTGCTTGCTCTCTTGCCTCAAGGACTTTGCAAGTGCTGATCCCTCTGCCTGGAGCAGGGGGCCCTTCTTACCCTGCAAGTTAGATTCTTCTTTTTCAGCCTTGGGTTTCAGATGAAATATTTTCCTCCTCCAAAGAGAATTCCCTAAATTCCCATCTGTATCAGCCCCCTCTTATACTCTTTCATAGCACCCTCCACAAGTATACACACCCAAGGCTCTGTTTATCCCTCTCTGTTTGATGGCCGGCCACCGCCCCTGTGATCGTGTCTTCTAAGATGGCACAGCAAGGGGCACAGAGACAGGGCAGAACAGGAAAGACACAGTCTCAGGAGCCTAAGGAGCTGGGTCTAAATCTCAGTTCTGCACTCAGGAGCTGTGGAGCCTTAGGGAAGTTGCCTCAGATTCCTCATCCAAAAAAAAAAAAAAAAAAGGTGGGGAAAAAAAACCCTTCATCATAGGGCTGTTGTGAGGATGAAACAAGTTCATATATGAAAGCCCCTGGAACAGCATCTCCAGTGCCTCCTACTGGGTATCACGTGAGGTCTATCTTCCCCACGAAAGGCCTGACCCTAGGAAGCAGGGACTGTATGTGTTTGCTCAACACGACAGTGTCTGTGCTTTCCTAATGCTTCAGTGTGCTTACAGAGGCATGCAGAGCCTTCAGCACACGAGAAGGCCCCTGAATAACCCAAAAGTTAGAACCCGTGAAGGTCCAGCCAAGAACGACTCTCGGTTTTCTGTCTTGGGTGAACTGAGCTCAGTCTGGACATTCATGACAAGAGAGGGCGACTCAGTGGCAGTTAAAGCCATGGGTGCGGACACGGCCACTGAGAGAGACCACAGAGGGAAACAAGGGCTAGGAAGGGTCCGTAGGAGGGATTATAAAGTGGAGCACTCCACAGCGATACCTCTGCCAAAAAGGCCTTTAACAAAAAGACCACGTGTCCATGGACTCAGTAACGTAAGGGCGTGAGCAACAGTGGCCGGTTGGTCTGAGGGCGAAACAGCTCATCCTGTGGGTTACGAGCATAGCCAGCTAGTAGATGTAATTCCCTGAGCCAATTATTTAGTCTTGCGAAGCTTTAGATGCCTCCACTACAAAATAGGGGCAGCAACTGTGCCTATTCATGGGCTGTTGGGAAATCTGGTGAAATAATCCATGTCAAATGCTTGTTAGAACAGCGCCTAGCACCTAGCATTTACACTTACTTATAGCCATTTTGCAATTATGAAGTTTAAGTTATCTTGAGATATCATCTGATGGGTAGGTAAGAAAACAACTTAACCAGAACCCAAGACTGACATTCTTTCTTTCTTTCTTCCTTCCTTCCTTTCTATCTATCTATCTATCTATCTACCTATCGGAGCCATGGAATGGGACAGAGGGAATAGGTACAGTTCTTGGGAAGATGGAACTGAAAACCTTATGAAATGCAAGGACAGCATCTAGTGCTTTCCTTTCTGACATACAAACAGAACAAAACCTCTATGATTACTTGTATTGGGTCTTATTTACAAATGGGGAAATAGAGGCCCATATCTAAAAGGATAAACCATCCCTCCTAACAGAGAAACCAGTATAATATTCTGGTGGTGTTGTTGGTGTCGTCATATTAGCTTCAGACACCTTTTTATTATTTTTTTTCTTTTAATTCTAGTTAACATACCGTGTAATATTAGTTTCAGGTGTATGATACAGTGATTCAACACTTCTATACAACACCCAGTGCTCATCACGACAAGTGCACTCCATAATCCCCATCACCTATAGTTAAGAGTCTGTTTCTTGGAGTGCCTGGGTGGCACAGTCGGTTAAATGTCTGACTCTTGGTTTGTCCGAATTTTGATTTCAACTCAGGTCATGATCTCAGGGTCTTGAGATCGAGCCCTGTGTTGGGCTCCAAGCTCAGTGTGGAGTCTGCTTAGGACTCTCTCTCCTTCCTCTGCCCCCTCCCCCCCACACTCTCTCTCAAATAAGTAAATCTTAAAAAAAAAAAAAAAGAGCCCATTTCCTGGTTTGTCTCTCTCTCTCTCTCATATTCTGTTTTAATTTGATCTATTGAGAAGACTAGCTGGTATGCTACAAAAAGTAGTTTATGAATGTTGCAATTGCTTTCTTACTCCACTGAATCTATATTACCTCCAGGGGAACAGTTCTTAAACTTTGGTTATAAAATACTAATCCAGAGAGATCCCTGTCAACATGGTTAGGGAAGTCCTACATATCATCCCTCTTCCCAGAGGTCCTGAGGAGTCTCATACGCACTGATACTGCCCATCTGAGGGACTCTAACCCAGGGCTTCCCCTGCTTGCTAAACCCCCTTTCCCTGTGACACTTGGGAAATCACCCATCAGTGGGGGATCTTGCCCACCAGTCCCTACCGCCTTCAGCCCCTCATGTCCAACTTGTTATGTTTATAAAATCCAGTTAAAGTGAAGATTAGTGGCAAACTTGGGGAATACGTATGAGAAGTCATAAAAGGCAACATGAGGTTTGTATGTGAAAATGGACAATCCCTCATCTTTCTTCCTGAGATAACATAGGTAATGACAAGAGGAAGAGAAAAACCTCAGGGTAAGAGTATGGACTTGAAGGAGCCTCAGAACTTTCTGGAAATAGCACAAAGATCCCACCAGAGGTCACCCTTGCCTTTTTTCCGCTTCCCTCAAAGCCAGAGCAATCAATCAACCAGACAGCTTCCATAGACAGAAAAAAAAAAAAAAAAAGATCCACTTCCCAAGCTGGTGTCCAAACTTCAGCTTTTTAAGGTTTTCACGTCACATCATTTAAAATTCATATTCTCCTAGTAACAGAATCTGGTTTCTTAGGACACAGGTCTGGGAGAAACATAATGTTAGTGTTTCTACTCAGCGGTCTGTGAGGTTTGTGTTTCTCCTCACTGGCCACAGAAGGGAGCCAGAGTTCTTCTCTCCTGAGAACAGGCAAGGAAAACATCCTAGCAGCCCTGTGGGGAGAAAGGAAACCAGGTTTTGGCAACACGTTTGACCCACTAACTCATTCGGTCAGAATGACTGTTCCAAACCACATTTCATCTGTGACAAAGGTTAACTTTTCTCACATTAAATGGCTGAACCTATACTCGGGCTTGGCAAATACACATGTGATCTGTGTGTTTCTGTGGGAGGTTGGTGTGTCTGCTGGGAAATAGGAACCACTTTCAAACAGAAAGAAACTAAAACTATGTATGCTGATCAGAGCCTTGAGTAGGTTAATGGAAATACTGACACCAAACCTTCAGAATCATTAGGATATATTATAGAACTGAACAGCCACAGGCCACACACAAATCTAGATTAAAACAAATCTAAAATAGTTAAAAACCACAGGTAAAAATTTTACATTTTATTTGGTTCTGATAATCTGGTCAAAGGCAAATTCACTTCAACAAAACCTGTAAATTAAAAAACACTGCCAAGGGACACCTGGATAGCTCAGTCATTAAGCGTCTGCCTTCGGCTCTGGGGTCATGATCCTGGGGTCCCGGGATCAAGTCCCACATTGGGCTGTCTGCTCAGTGGAGAGTCTACTTCTCCGTCTGCCTGCTGCTCCCCCTGCTTGTGCTCACTCTCTCTCTCTCTGATTTAAAAAAAAAAATTTTTTTTTTTTTTTTAATTTAAAAAATACTGACAATCCGGGACGCCTGTGTGGTTCAGTCAGGTCAGTGTCCGGCTATTGATTTCCACCCAGGTCATGATCTCAGGGTCATGGGATCGAGCCCAGCTTGGTGGTCAGCAGGAAGTCTGCCTGAGATTGTCTCTCTTCCTTGCCCTCTACCCCTTCCCCCACTCACTCATGCTTTCTCCCTCTCTTTCAAATAAATAAATAAATCTTAAAAAAAAATACTGACTTCTGAAATTAATACATGTTAATTAATTGATTTAAATTTTAAAAAATACTGACAATCCATTATTAACACCATCACGACCCCCTCATTGAGAAGTTCTGCATAACCCATTTTAAACTTTGGATGAAGAGGTGTTTTCTGAGTAACAACTGAGTAAACGACCCAATGTTTGTACAGGCTGCTCTCTGAGCTCAGAGGCCTTGATCTCTGTCCATTGTCAAAGGCTCGGCTCAAAGCATACATTCTCCAAAAACTACTGCTAGATTTTATTTCTCACTCTACCCCAACGTTACATTTGCTTTCTTTATCCGCATCCCTTTTTACCTCCACCACTTAGATTTCACAAGCACATCAATCTCTCTCACTGCGGCATTTTCTTTCTTTTTCCGTAGTGCCTAGCAATTACTGTGTGCCAACTCTTGTTTTCGGTGCTTTCCTTGACACACTAATTCATTTACTACTCGACATCCTGAAAGGTAGGTACTGTTATCACCCTCATTTTATAGAGAAAGGTACTGAGAAGTAGAGAGGTTAAGTAATTTGTCCAAGATCACAGGCATAGTGAACAGAACAAAGACCCAAACCCAGGCAGTCTGGCTCCAGAAACTGTGCTCCTAAGGACTGGGAATACTGCCTCTTCTAAGAGGTATGTAATCAACACCTGCCGAAATTGAACAAAAAGGCAAAGCTTTAGGATATGCTGTACAGAGTTGAATGCTCAAGAGTTTTTTGGAGCTCTTTCTTCCCATCACCATTTAAACACCCCAAATCCCAAAATAATGTGTTAAAAACCATCCAAAATCCATAATGGGCAAGCAGGTAACATACTTACTAGATCCAGATATGTTTAAGTCTTTACATTCTTCAATTTTAGCATCACTGTCAAAATAGATCTTGATCTTGCCACTGTGAGCTTTATTGTCAAAGGTAATCTGGAGACACAAATGTATGGAAAGGTTACCGCCCAGCAGAAAGTATGGCACACAAGATGAACTCTGCTTCAAATATCACTGGCATCCAAATAGCATGCTGATTCAAAAATAATTATACTGATAAAAATGTCCTCGTCACATGATTCCTTCACAAGTTTCTATTACTAATGAAAAAATATGATCCAAAAGGTGAATATGTGAAGTTCTAATGAATCACATTTGGGTTCAGAGAAATCTTAGAGCATAACAACTAACTGGTCCCAGGAACAAAAACAAGATTCACCAATCTTTGACAAGAGAATACAATAATCTCATTTATTATACTGAATAGAATGTAAAAGCATTTGCTTCAACTTAGTCCTTTAGGTACGAAATTCTAGGTCTTTACTAGGCTAGAAATTATCTTCCTGTTTGCTTCAAATGCTACATATAACGCTTTCAGAAGTGACAAAGACTACTCCCAGGCTTCAGGCTGAATTTAAGATTTCCAAACAGCCTCGACGTTCCACATTATGTTTCAGTCATGCTGTTTCCAAGTGAAATACGCTGAGTATCTTACGGCCTGAGAGAAGTATTTGGGGGGCTTTCTTAGGGGAGAATGAGGCCCTGAGTGAGCCAGGGTCAGCGGAGTTGTCCTCATAGTTCATAGGCACTGAAACAAGGCCAACAGGTTTAATTCTCAAGCCTCTGGTTTGGTCAGAGGGATATTCTTGGATTACACGGAGTGTGGCTCATGTGAGGAGATGCTCGGGCACTCACGGATTTAATTACAGATCACCTACACATGCAGCTGGCAAGCTCTTTGCCTGTGAATTTGGGGGGATTTCGTAATGTGTTTTGTAACATGTAGGTCACCCCAGGGAGGTTAATCATGCTCTTCTGTGCCAGAGACATTCTTCCTCACCACATGTCAAGATTTAGAATTTCTTCTGTTTCTTTGCGTACTTGTTTTCCGCTTGAGCTCGTCTGCTGGGCTATAAGCTTCCTGAGGGCTGCCGCACCCCGACGGTATGGCCCTGTCATTACGTACTGATTGACTGTTGTTGAAGAGGCACTCCTCTGAGTTGTTTCAAAGGGCGCTCACACACAACTGTCAGCTCAGCGTTCGGTTTTGCCCCTCCATAAACACGGGGGAGGAAGAGAGGGAAGGCACAGAAGCCCATGGAACAAGAAGGCGGGTTACTCTCCCCACAGAAGTGAACATTCTCCTCTACTGCACGTGCCTCCTCCCAAAATAAAAGAAGCAACACCTAATCCTTTGCAGACTGGCCCTCAGATGTGGGGGGGGGGGGCAGTTTCTGCCTGGAGGTTTGAAAACATTTGCTACAACAGTTGCAAAGACCTTCCTTTGAAAGTAGGAAAAACATCATAGACACTTAAGACACTTGTCATCAACTTTTTCTCTAATGTATTAGGGGAGTAAGAGGTCAAAGCCAATTTTGAAAATTCCACTTTCCAGCCCAGGAATCCGGTTTTAAAAAGTTGGAAAGGGCTTGCTTCATTTTCATTGGTCTCTGGACCAACAAGGCTAGAAAGTGTCATTTCCCAAAGTAACGGTCTCTGGACCAACAAGGCTAGAAAGTGTCATTAAGCTGTTTTAAACACAACTGCATCTGACACATCTATATAGGCTGATGAGTTTTACACTTGGCATCTGCAACAGGAGTAGAGAAAAATAATAAAATCCAGCTTTAGTGTGACAAGACACTTGCCGTGTTCTGAAAGACGTAACAGTCCGGTAACTCTCGGGAATGAATCGTCTGTAGGTCAATGCCTTTGATGTGAAAGGAAATTTCAACTTGTAAGAGCCTGAATAAAAAATATTACAAGGTATAAACTGTCATAGTCTTACTATCCTCCTCTGCTTTCCCCATCCCTGTCTCCTGGGAAATGAGACTTAGAAACTTATTTACCGATAAAATTCCAGTTTGAAGAATGACGAGTTCTTCCAGTCCTGAGGGGACTTGGAGAGGTCTAAGTGAACACAATCTAGGGCAATGAAACAACAAGAAGGATTGTTTCAGACAACAATCAAATGCTGGGACAAGGTGTGCTGAGAAGCAGGACACTTAAAAGTTCCAACATATCTTCCCACAAAATCCGTATTCATTGTAACGAGACCCGTAACTTGACAGGGAAGAACCTGGAGATACCACCCTAACCACATAATCACAGCTAACATCACCAGTAATGGAACAAAGAGACATCATGCACCTCCTGAAATAATGTACCATTTGTGTGGTGTTCCTGCCCCCAATGCATAACCTCAATCAAGTCATAAAGAAACAGAAAAACCCAAGTGAGGAACATTCTACTCTTAAAATGTCAAGGTCATTGGAAAAAAAAAAAAAAGGCTAAGGAATTTTATTTTGCTCCAGATTAAAGGAGATTAAAGTGACCTGACAACTAAATGCATTATGTGATCTTGGACCGGGGAGGTGGCAGGGGATGGGGGAGGGGGCCCATGGAGGGGGTAGTATGGTCAGGCAGTTTTCTTTTTCTATAAAGAACAGGACAATGGGTGAAATGTGAATAGGGTTTGTAGATTACAGTACTGTATCCATGTTCCTTCGTGCTTTTGAGCACTGTATGGTGGTTATGTAGGAGAATGTTCTTGTTTGGGGGAAATGCACATTGAAGTATTTAGACATAAAGAGACATCATGTCTGCACCTTATTCTCATACACTTCAGGAGAAATATTTATACATTGGAAGAATGATAAAACAAATGTGGTAAAACATTAGCCTTTGGGGAAAATCTAGATGAAGAGTACACAAGGAAACCTTTGTGCTATTTTGCAACTTTTCTGTTAAGTCTGATGCTTTTTCAAAACAAAAAAAAATAAAGAGAAAAGAAACTTAGGTTTTATTCAAGTAAAAACAAATTATGAGCCGTAAACTATAAAAGAATAATTCCAAGAGCTCACATAAAAATAGTCTCATCATTGTGTAGCTCAACATCTTGGCAGTAAACCAAGGAGGTCTAGAAATGGTGAATGCCTTTCAAGGTCACAGAACCCTGACATGGAACAAGGGGGAAGCCAGCCTGGCTGACTGTCGCCCCAGGCTGTTGTTGCACCTTCATGAAATGGAAATGTCAGTGCCTAATACCCAGGAGGTGCTCGAGAATCTTACTAGACTTGATGGCCGATTCTTTAAGCTTCTTCTCCCACTGGGCCAGGTGTAGCAATGACCTCCCATCACTAAACAGTCCATGACCTTGGCTTAACCACCTAGCCTGACTGAACTCCAGTTTCCTCAGCTGTAAAGTAAAAGCCAAACTGATGATATTTAAGGTCCTTCCACCTGTCACATCCTCATCTGAAGACAAAGTAAAAGAAAACAAAACATTTAAATTGATTTGAGTAAGTGCTAGATTCTGAAAAGAGAAAGAACATGTTCAAAATCTATGTGCCATGTACTGTCTCAGGTCTCTTTCTTCTATATTTCACTCATTCTAAGATATTTCTTTTTTTTCACTTTTAAATACCTCTAAAACAGATGAGTTTTAGGGGCACCTGGGTGGCTCAGTTGGTTAAGTGACTGCCTTCGGCTCAGGTCACGATCCTGGAGTCCTGGAATCGAGTCCCACATCAGGCTCCCTGCTCAGCAGGGAGTCTGCTTCTCCCTCTGACCCTCCCCCCTCTCATGTGCTCTCTCTCTCTCATTCTCTCT